ACTCACTGACCACCTAGAATTTACTGTCACCAGAGTACAGCCAGTGAGGGCTAACAAGAAGGACCCTTCCATTGCAGAGGCTCCAGTGCAACACTGCATTCTCATGGACAGTATACTGACTTGATGCATACTTGTTCTGAAGTACTTCAGAACTGTTCAGCACACCCTGCAATGCCACTAAACCACACAAACGCAACATCGATGCTAAACTGAAGCTATGCTATTTAACGATTGTTGTCAAAGCCAGGGCCGTACCAGTGGGGATAACATTTTTTTCCTTATAATAACCATACAGAATACCCTCTCGACTCACCAACCAACATGTCCATTAACTATCTTATTACCTCTCAAAACCAAATTCTGCTACTTTAAATCTTTCAGAGGGGATACAAACTGCTCTAGGGCAGTGGTTCTCAACCTTTTTTCATTTGTGGACCCCTAAAAAATGTCAGATGGAGGTGCGGACCCCGTTGGAAATCTATTGTCTCTATATACAGTTGAATTCTGTTCAGTCAGTTTTCAGTCCAATTTAGGGTGACCAGATAGCAAGTGTGAAAAATCGGGATGGGGGTGAGGGGTAATAGGCACCTATATAACAAAAAGCACCGAATATCGGGACTGTCCCTATAAAAACAGGACATCTGGTCACCCTAGTCCAAGTCTTTCGTGGACCCCTTAGATATGGTCCACGAACCCTGGACCACAGGTTGAGAACCATGCTCTAAAGTGCCTGCATTTACACTGGGGGACTAAGGGCAGCTAGGGGGGTGGAGATCTGCATTTTGATACAAATAAATCCTGGATTTGTGAACTAGGTCTGCAGAAATGTTACAAATTGGTTAACTTCACTATACATTTGATACTTTAATCCAATTACACTACATGTTCTCCAGAACATCAACCATGGTAATCTCTTCTAAAATTACTGAACTCTCTCTAGTCCTGGGAATGAAAATATCTGCTTCTCAATTTCTGCATGCAATGCTAACAATGGATCCCTTTCATATATGTAACAAAGTGTTTGCGGGGGGTGGAGGGGGGGGTGTTACTGTGCTTCCTTGTTTTTGTATCACAGTAATGGATTTTAAAATAATTTACTGGTAACAGATCATGCATATGGACTTTGTGCAGCTGATGCTAGAGCAATCAAAGTGCATTCCTTTTGCGGCTATCCTTAAAGAACCTTAGCACCTCTGGACCTGAGTTTGATATTTTTTTCTCATTCTTAAAGAGATTACTCTCTAGTTTAATGAGGAGTTTGACCCTTTCTTGCTCTTTCTGTAACCAAAAGGACACAGTACTCCCTCTCCCTGTATTACCATTCTTCATATATAGATTATGCACGGCCTGAATGGTATTTATATTAACAAGGGGGGACCTTCACCCTCTGTCCTCACCTGTTAGGACATCCAGTTGCCCTACACAGGTAGCAAGAAGATACAGACAGTAATTTGGCCAGGGTTGACAGTTACTGAAAGAAGCTGTTAACAGAACTGTGTGATGGCTTGTGTAAAACAATCCGGCAGTCTCAAAGCTACTTCCAGTGGGCTGGTCATCAGAAAAACAGCACCACAGCCAGAGGCAGCCTTAGAAAAGAGGGCTTGATTCCCCACTGCCCTGCACTTTGTGCAGATCTTTACACCTATGCAAAGTGAGTGTAATCCTAACTTAGCAGTGTTTCATACCATTGCACAGCACAGATGTAGAGGACTGTACATGGTGCCAAGCAGTGTAGGACCAGGCCCTCAATAAGCATGAGCAGTTCTGTGGGTGCACAGAGTATTCCAGCCCCTTAGACAATATACTGTAACAAGGAAGTGTGTACAAAATGTTCATTTATCTTAATATAGCTGTGCAGAAAATACATTAGCAACCTGTCATTCACAGCATGCATGCATTCCTGCAAGCTAAGTGATAAGGCTAAACAGACTGCCTAATCCACTGGACAACAGGTGGAATCAATGCTTGGAAATGTAAGTGACAAATGTGATCTGCTCACTTTACATTCTGAGCTACTTAAACATTCACCTTTGTGCCTCATTGATGCCATTGGACTCAACAAGTGCTGATAAGCCCTCTGTGTTGTATTCATGACTGAGCAAGCAAGAGTTGAATTTCCACAGCTGATTATTATCGGAAGATAATCTAACTGGGCAAGGATTAGTCTGCTGGGCACTTAATCACTTTCCAACAAGTACATGACTGGAGACAGGAATTTAAACCTTTCCACTAATACATACAGCAGGGCCTGATGCTGAGCTCAATGAAGTCAATTTTACAGCAGCATAACTCCACTGACTTCAATAGCACTAGTATGAGTAAGAGGAGATTCTTTCCCACTTGCTTCTCAAGTGCTGAATGAGCCTATTGCTAGCATTTCCCACCCCCCCTTTTTGTTAACCCACATTTACTTCAGTTTCCTGGGAAATGTAGGCTTAGCTATACACTCTAGTCTTTCTCACTTCCTTCCAGACTCTCATTATCCATGCATGTGCTCCTGATTAGAAACCATTCAGACCATACTCTCAGAGAGTAAGTGTGTGTGTGCATGGTTTTGAGTGCATGTTCAACGTAAATGCCTAAACTAGTCTACAAAATGTAAAACTAAAAATTACATTAGCAATAGGCTCAATCAACATTTTGGGGAACATGTTTTCAAAGATAGTCATCTAAATCATATTCATAAAGTGAGTACATATTTTGGCAGGTTTCAGAGTAGCAGCCGTGTTAGTCTGTATCCGCAAGGAGTGGGCTGTAGCCCACGAAAGCTTATGCTCTAATAAATTTGTTAGTCTCTAAGGTGCCACAAGTACTCCTGTTCTTTTTACATATTTTGGGGTATTTGTACAAGTAACTATGTGTGCAAAATATACAAGTATGCATATAATTCTCTGTTCTGCATGCATAATTACATGTGCACATTTTGCAAATGCAACTGAATTGCCTGTTTTTAAAAATTTGTGCCTTGATTTTCAGAGTTTGCCAAGCACTCACAACTCCCTCTGAATTCACCACTGACTCTTTGAGCTAGCTCAATGCACAGAAGTTGAGGGCACTCAACACATCACAAGATTAGGTCCTATGTAAATCAAATCACTTTCCTTTCAGTACTGGAATTTAATCATCCTGAAATTAGTGAGAATTACTTAGTTGCATTTGTTTGTTTCCTCAGCCATTTGTGTTCCCTCTGGATTTCCTTTTGTCCTATTTAGTGAGGTTTTCTGATATCCCTTACTTTTCCACACTATTCCTGGCTGCTTCCGACTTACAGGTGAAAAAAATCACTCTCCAGTGGAGTTGGAAATGATTGACTGCCATGCTCAGCTAGTAATGGTGATGATTTTTTTTAATATAACCAGAAAATAAATTAAGATCACTTATGCTCTCCTCCGACTAAAAAGACTGGCTGGTAATTTCAGTTTGTAACAGGAGATTGACCATGGTCACGGGAAAGCACAGGAAATATGAAATAGCAGAGTGGTCCAGGAATACTAACCCCAGACCAAAAGTGTTAGGCTGAAATGAGCAGCAGGACATCCAAACACTCAGAGGTTTATATCATTTCATCACCCTATAGCTTTCTTGCTATCAAACCATAGCATGCCTGTAGGAAATAAGTTTCCTGTGTCAAAACACTTGGCTCACCAATGATACGTTGCAATGCAGGAACATTGCAGCACAGCCTGGTCAGCACACTTCTCCTGCCTATTGCCATGGTTTTATTTTTTTTTAAACAAAACAAGAACCACAACATAGTGTGACAAAACATACTGTATTTCTAGCTAGCCTGACTTCTGCAATCACATAAACAATTACCATTATTCAACTTGACAGTATAGTTTTGGGGAAAAAAATAGTGCTAGTAATACTGCAATAGATAATGGCTTGTCAGCACTTCCACCCCCAAAATATCCCATTTTCAGAGGTTTGAGAGTCGTCCAAACAAATCTGTTTCAGGTTAAAACTTGCAAAGGAGCAAAGTTTGGTTTCACAACATTGGACAACAAAATCAGATCAGCTGTTTTTTTAATTGTGGAAGGAGGGGGGAGAGAAAAGTTGTTTTCAGAGTTCTTTTGCAGTTGTATGATGGGAAAATGGCTTCAATTTAAAACAGAGAGTTTAGCAAGCAACTATTTATCATAGAAATGTATATAGATCCCCATCATCCAAGCACAAGTTTGTGTTACGTTAATGAAACAGTTACAAAATATGGCACAACCTCTTACTCATAAAGAACAGAAGAACTATTTCATGACATTACTAAAGGTCAGTCCAATCTTTGACCAGACAAACAGGTCTTGAACTGTGCCCTTAAGCTCACTAAAACCATGGTTTGGCAGACTGCCTGAGACAGCAGGTTCCAGAGGCATTACTCTCCCCTCTGAAGGCTCCTACCAGTTATAGGGCATTCAGCACCAGACAGACAAAAAGAGATGTAAGCAGATTGCAACCACCTTTACCATGACAATGTCCCAGAACATTTACACCTTGAATCGCACCTGTGAGTAAATAACTACTGCACATCACAGAGCAATGGTGGGTGCCCATAATGGCTTGCTACATGGTACCAGATGAACTGCAGCATTCTACACTGGCTAAAGATCCCACGCATTTCTGAATGTGCTCTAGATTCATTTGGTAAGGGTTGGAAGGTTGGACTATAGGCCTAGGTAGTTAAATTAAAAATATAATCTGTTATACATTCACACAAAACTTGCTAAAGAAATTTAGATGCCTGAGCTTGTATTGCCATGACAGAGGGAAACAGAGAGTATGCCCATTTGATCTTTCCATAATACACATTCCCAAATTATACACTAACCCACTAGGTCCAAAGCATTGAGGGACCACCATCACCACCTCCTAGTTAAGGATGAGCCAAGAAAAATGGGGGTAGTACATAAAACTTTGTGAAGTATTAATGAGGATCAAAGTACACAGCTTTTTGGAAACATAAGGCACCAAACGCCAAGTAACACAATTTCATTTGAGCAGTTTACCTGTTCTCCAGCAGTGTCATGCACACAACCTCTCGCACGCCAGGGTTGTTGGCTTTTTCCACAGAGCAGCTTTGCAGATTCCAGGTAGCCACCCTCAGCACAGGCTTGCCATCTCTCACCCCGCCAAACATCTCCACCGAGGGGCGAGTGGATATAATCTGGGTCGGGCCCCCAGGTGGGAAATCCAAGTCCTCGCTTTGGAGGCTCAGAGAGGTGGGGCTGGGGTGAGGATTGACGTTGAAGCTGAGTCCCCCGTTGGTATTGGTGGAAGGGGGCCGTGACCTCTCGGTGAAAATCTGGTGCCTGATTTTGTCCAGGAAGGAGGAGTTGATGCAGTCCATCTTCACCAGGTCCTCGATGCTTCTGAAGGGCCCGTGCTCCTTGCGGTAGTCCACGATGCCGTGGGCTATCTTCTCCGTGACGCCGCGGATGCTCATGAGCTGGGCCGGCGTGGCCGTGTTGATGTTGAGCCTGGCGGCGGCCAGGTGGTGCTGCGCCTCGGGGTTGGGGTCCTTCCTCAGGGAGCTGGGCGAGTGCTGCGCCGAGCTGCCCTTGCTGCTCACGCAGATCTCGAACTTGACCTGCTCCAGCCGGGCGGCCCCGACCCCGCTCACCAGCGCCAGGTCCTCCACTTTCTTGAAGCCCCCGATGTACTCCCGGTACTCCACGATGCTCTGGGCCACGGTGCGGGTGATGCCGGGCAGGGTCATCAGCTCCTCCTCCGTGGCGCTGTTGATGTTCAGCCGCTCCTGGTTGACCAGGATGTGGCTGAAGTTGCACGCCGCGCTGAACTTGCGGCTGTGGCAGAGGTCCGAGGGGTCCCGGGGGATGGAGCGGTGACAGCCCAGGTTGCCCCCCATGGCCGGCGGCGCGATTCGATCCTAGCCCGCGGTGCGGGGGGGCAGCTCTCCTGCCTGCTGCGCGAGCGGGGCGAGCTGCGGGTTCAAGGCAGCGCGCGGCGCCCCTCAGACTGCGACGCTGGGAGCGGACTTGTGCCACTGCCCCGGCTAGTGGGAGCTCTCCCGGCCCAGCCCCGCATCGCCCAGGGGGAGGGGCCTGCAGCCGCTCGGCTCCAGACTAGCGAACTTGGCAGCGGGGCGAGGGTTCAAAGCTGAGGGGAAGTTAAAAATATCCCCGCCCCTTCGCCGCTCCACACACGCCAGCCGGCAACCTGCCCCTGACCAGCCGCTCTGCCCGCCCGCCGGGCTGCAGCGTGGCCCCGGCCTGGAGCCAGAGAGCGAGCGAGCGAGAGCCGGGCAGACACGGACAGCGTCCGTAGCCAGCAGCCGAGCCGCTGGGGGTACCCCCCCCCCGCCTCCTTCTCCTTCCTCTTCGCGGAGTTTCTTCCCCGCCCCGGGCTGCTTGTTGACTGCGCAGAGCGAGGCGGGGGAAGGAGCCTCCTCTGCTGCCCCCGCCGGGACTTATCCAGCCCCGCATACAACTCGCTCCCTCCCCTCGCGTCCCAACTCTCCCTCCCCGCCCCGGTCACCGCAGAGCAAAGGCCGGTGCGCCTGGCTCTCCCCGCTGCTGACTTCAGGCTCACACGCCCACCAGCCCCTTGCAACGGCGCTGCTGGCCCCGCACCGCCTCTGCCCCTTCGCTTTCCTCCGGGGTTGGCACCAGCGCTTCCCTCCCTCCGCAGGGGAGGAGGCGCCAGCTGCCTTGGCCTCCTCCTGGGCTGGTCACATGGGCTCCCTGCCTCCCATGCAGAGCCCAACCTGCGGCCGCAGCAGCCTTGACGGGAGTGACAGGTAGCTGAGCTGGAGGGGTGGCTAATGAGCGCTTCCCTTCCCTGCTTGGCGTGCCCTTTGGATACTGCGGTCTTCAGGTGGTGTTAGGATCAGGGCCGGCTCTAGGCACCAGCAAAACAAGCTGGTGCTTGGGGCGGCACATTTTTAGGGGCGGCAT